TCTCATTGGCACTCATACCACATCTTCTTATTTCTATATAGTATTGCTGATGAGAATTTTTTACATATGTCTGATAATGAAAAATTGATATTTCTTTTCACAAATGAAAATATGGTATTTTATGCTGCCAAAATCTGCAATGAAATTTTAATAAAGCGGAAATGTATTTTATACTCATGATAGTTGACTTGTATTTCTATAATATTTTAAGAAAAATTGTTTTATAGTGTCTCATAACTCTTTATAGAATGGCTCTTGTTGTTAACTTGTGTTTTAATAAGCTGATATTTTATATGTAGCAAGTGGTGAGACTTTAATAAAGTATTTGTCTTGTCTTGTCTTGTCTTGTCTTGTCTTGTTTTGTCTTCTTGTCTTATCTTGTCTTGTCTTGTCTTGCTCTTCAACTTCGTACGTTATTTGGTCTTTTTAACATTTTTTTTATTCGAGCGTCACTGGTGAGTCTTTTACAGACGAAACAAGCGTCTTATGTACAAACTTACAATCCTTGTATCTTTGATGAGTTTTTTGCTTTTTTTTTCTCTACTTTTGACACAATATGATGGCAATGTTTTTTCTCATTCACATTCATAAGTTATATGGTTTGTACGCAATGAGACAGCACTCGAACAACACAATTAAATAGAAGAGACATTTTTGTATGAACTACAAAAAATCGATTTTAAACTACTGCTAGCATTAAAAGCTAACTGTATTTCTCAAGCATTTGTTTTATATCAAAACAGTAGAAATTTCAACAATATCGGTCTTAAATTTCTATTTCTTTTTAAATCTTGACAGTCCGTTCACAGTCATTTTTTTTCAAGTTTCACTTTTCTTGTTTTATCAAGTATAATTAAAAACTTTCACGAAGGATTAATTTATTTGGACCCGCGTGAATTACGAATTTGCTTATTAAGTAAATGTTTGAATTGTCGTCTTTACAAACATGAATTCTGATTTTTATTTCAAAATTGAAGAACTTATGTTTTGAAATTTCGCCTTTATAGGAAATGAGGAGATTTCGTGTGATTGCTAATAAGACAACTGTGTCCACCTAAATACCAAAGGACAAGAATCTTAGTTGTTCGTTAACTAAACTACTACTAAGGTGTCTTATTCGAATACTTTTCAATGTACTTTCTACACAAAAATAAAATAATGCAGAATAAATCGAAGTTGACCTTTAAAGTTCATTATATACACATCATTTAACAAAAATCCTTAATCATCTCGCATCTTTCATTTTTTGATACAAAATGTTCCGGAAATATTGTACTGTTTATTAATACTGAATCGTTATCCAGCGTGCGGCGGGAAAGGTTGTCTCTTTTATTTTTACAACTGTCCATATGTATTCAAAATTTCACCGTCATGTTGTAGGGTGTTGGTTAAAAAATCGTAGTCTTTGTATTTTTTAAAGTAACTAAGTTGTCGAACGTTTAGTTACATTCCAGTGGCTTCGTTACGTGTACAACGCAATAACAAATTAACATATTATATTGTAAAATTCTGACGGCTATAAACAAGAAGTCAATAGACTATTTTCATATTACCGACTTTTGACTTCGGATTATATAATTTGTCGACTGGTTACCTTTGACATCATGGTACCAAGTCAGGTAAGAGCAAGCTAAAGAAGTAAAACCAAGCGTTCAATCGGTACAATTTTTGGGGAAAATTACCTGCTAAACATTTTTTTTCATTACAAAATCATCGGAAAACAATAAATTTTCCCCTCAAATTACACCGATTATATGTTTGATTTTACTTATTTTGGTTGCTCTTACTTGACCGAGTACCATGATGTCCAAGGTAACCAGTCGACAAATTATATAATCCGGAGTCAAAAGTCGGTAATATGAAAATAGTCTATTCACGAAGGCGTGATAAGCTGTCATTAGTATCCAATCAGTTTTCCTATTGGATAAAGTTTGAAGTGCTGATGTTGGAATGACATTTGTGAAATTGAAATATTGTTTATAAAAGAGAGGCGAAAGATACAAAGGGGATATTCAAACTCAAAAGTCGAAACAAACTTATTCATTAGTTGTTAATTGACTTGGAACTAGCTTTCAGGAACTGAGAGTACTCTTAATTCGGTATTGTTTTTACGTCAGTTGTTTTTGTGCCTCGTACCGATCTTTTGAGTTAAGCCAATTGTAACTGATTTTCATAGTTTGTTCTTATGTTGTGCTGTTACACCATTGTCCCAGGTTAGTGCGATGGTTGAGCACTAACAAACAGGTTTAACCCCACCACATTCTTTATGTGCCTGTCACAAGTCAGGAGCCTGTAGTAAAGTGGTAGTCGATGGTTCATATCTGTGATATTTGTTTTTCATAAATTGTTTTGTTATAAATTAGGCCGTTAGTTTTCTCGTTTGAATTGTCTCTCATTTTTTACATGTCGGGGCCTTTTATAGCCAACTATGCGGTATGATGTTTTCTCATTGTTGAAGACTGAACGGTGGCCTATAATTGATTATATCCACTTCATTTGAACTTTGGTGGATAGTTGTCTTATTTGCAATCCTACCACATCTCCTTATTTTTATATTGACAATGCCATGGCAAAAAACAAAAAACTATCAGAAGACAAACAACAGTATTCAAAACATAACATAGAAAACTAAAGACTGAGCAACACGAACCCAACAAAAACCCGGGGGTGATCTCAGGTGCTCTGGAAGAGTATACAAATCCTGGTCCACATGAGGCATCCGTTGTGTTGTTAATGTAAGTACAAACCCGATGATAAGTCTTATTCAGTAGGTCACATTCGAGGAAAGAGGACGGTTTTGTGGTTACAATTGGAACATATCCGTCGGCATCTGTTTAAACAGATATTCCATACTGGTCAACCAACTCGTGACGGCGTCTAAAATTTTTTCGAAGGGAAGCTGTCAACTTTACTACTTGAAATTCTTGGTTTAATAGTTTTCTTGTAAGCAGCAACCCTCTATCAAGGACATCATGATAGGAAAAACAAGCTCCGGAATATGATATCAACTGGGAGATATATACTCCAATAGCAGGCCCTGCTGAAATCATTCTTAGAAAAATGGGAAGTTCACAATTGGGAAGCTAAAATCATTTGTCGTAAAGTTTGGTTCTCATCCGACCATAGTTGTAGAGTGTTTATTCGTAGTAATGTTGGTTTCGACAAGTTGCTTTGTAACCACTGTCACGTATTCGAGAATAAAACTTATTTGAAATATTAAATAAACAGTTTTTTTTATATATATATCACAGATGATTCACGACTGTAATTCTTATTAAGCCCACAGGGACTCGGCTAGCAGATCAAAACATTTTAATCAAAGTTTTTCATTTTTATTCGTATTTCCATTACATTATTAACGTTTTCAACGTTGGCATCACCATTTCTTTGTTTTCTAGCAATTTGGTCTGATTCCTTGTCCGGTTTTGGCTATTATACTTTAGGTCCTTTTGGTTGATCAGCGCTTCAAAGTTTGTATTAGGTTTTGGATTTTCAAAATATTTTTGCGTTGAGTATCACTGAAGATACATTAATTGTCGAAATGTGCATCTGGTGCATTAAGGTTGGTACCGTTTATATTATTACTATCCATATCCGTATACTGAAAAATCTTAAAGGGATCTAAGTTGCCATTTTGAATAGCCTATCCGTCTTTAAATAAAAAAAATAATAAAAAATATTTATATTTGACTATATACCTTACAAGGGGACTCATTTCCTTCTTAAACGATTCTTCTAACAGAAGCATGTATAATTGATTTTCCGATCAACGACACCCTTACTCAGCTATCGTTTCATTTAGCTAGAAAAATATTTTTTTTCCGACGAAAGCAACGTAACTGGCAAACATGTCGTTTTTTCAACAACATAGACGCAATGGGAGATACATCTGTCATTCGGAAACTTCCCGTTTGATACGTTTATTACTACAACAGTAATCCCTCATAATATTGAACGCAAATTTCTTCACAACTATAGCCGCGGAATAAAAATCCATCAAATCAAAAGCAAATTAATAAAACCTCTCTGCAGATGGAGGATCATAACACACTGGTTTCTTGCGAGATACATCACTTAAATCGAGCTTTAGCCTACCCATGTTAAAATGAGCATAGAGCATCACATGAAAGAATTATTTTGATTCTAATATGAAAGTTTGAGTTAGACCTAAAAGACACTTCCGAATGGCAGTCATTTTGATTTGATGGAACAAAAGCGTTCCAGAAACTGAACCGTTTCGAGATTAAAAGGTCTACCAATACATGTAGACTATAACTTTTAGAATGTTTTTATTTATTTGTTTCCTAGCGAGAAACGCCACATGTCCATTTTGAGCTCCGGCGTCGTTCAAAATACATCGTCACGTTGGATTTTTTTTTTAAATAAAAAAATATGGCTTTGCTTACAGCGTCATATTTGAATGTAAATTTATGTATTAGGTTTTACAAAAACTCTTCAAAGTTACAAGGCTCATACATGTAATTTGTTATGTCAGACGCGCAATTTGTATTAAAAAAAAGGCAGGCCGAATCAAACACTTAACTTAAAGTTGAAGAGCAAATGCCTTCACTTTATCTGGTATCGATTTAACGTCTTCAATTGCCTTTAGGGGTTTTTGACTGCATAGTTAAATTTTCTTTTTTATTTGTTCTTATATATATCTTCATTAAAGGGCAAACATCAAACGTAAACATTTGATATGATGATAACGTCTACATTATTTGTTCCAAATTTCAAATAGGAATCAATATAAAGTTTTAAGCTCTGTTTAAACCTTTATTTCCACTTTTTAAATTAGGTTCATAGTTCTCATGAACTGCAACATGGAAGGACAAAAATATTATACTCTTTTCTTATTACACAATTTTTTTTTTCTCATTTTCATATTTTTTTTTATAAAAATGGTTTGTTGTATTTATAAAATATTCAGTATTTTCATATTTATTCCCTTATTTCGAATTTAAAGTAGCAATTTTGTTTAAGTCTTTTGAATCACTTACCGATTGTTGATATCACAGTAACTGAGAAGAATAAGGCACCAGACCAGCTCCACTTATATTTAGGACCATCTTCTTCGCCGTAAGCAGTACAATTGGTTCCGTCATACCCAATAGCGATGCTGTTGTCACGGAATGTGGCCAGTATGCTCTGAAGCTGTATTACCAACACGTCTGTCTGACCGCTACCTTCTTGTTCTTTAATTACTTTAATTGTATTATTTAATGTCCTCTCCTCCATGTCCAGGTATTCATCACGTGAGTCATAGCAAATTTGTTCTTCGTTGTTTTTCTCTAAATGTTCAAAGATAAAGCCACCGGCAACACAATATAAAACTACCATAAAACAGAGTCCTACATGGGAGAATAAAAATTTCATAAATTTTCGACAGCAGCCATCTTTTTGTTTCAATCCCATTTTGATCAACTTGAATTGTTTAACTATTCACTCTATCTTTTAGCTATTTAACACTTTGTTTGATACCAAATACAACTTTCCGTTAAGGCTTACATAGTGTTTAATTATTTTTTTTTAAAAGTTGGAATATGTCCGACTGTGCGACCTGAAACGAAATAAATTATAGGAAAATTGATCAATGAACGTTTGCTATCATCTTTTACTTACAAACATTAATTATTCAGGACTATATTGATTCTAACATTAAAATCCATTGTCGCAGCAAGACGAACAATAATAATATAAATAAAATTCTGCCAATGTCGCCTGAAATTCTATTCACCTGTACAATCGATAGACTTTGGTGCCATGGTAATGAAGCTTTTCCAAAGTAAAACATCTATAGCTTCATCGACTAAAACTAATTGCGTTTCTCAACTTTAATATTTAAATGACACTTTTGATCAAATTCCATTTTAAAACCATATCTATCCAGTTTAACTTTAAACAATTGCTATATCGATTCTAAAACGCTTCTAAGCACTTGCTGATTATTACTCTGATGGTCTTATCCCTTTTGTCGAGTGCATTTAATGGCCAGTCACGAAAAATAGATATTAAAAAAAAAACCCAACTAAAACAAAGTGCGTGATGACACAGCTTTTATCTATAGGTATATCTGGAAACATTTTACACACATTTTGCTTTGATAACTATCTAATGTCTGTAACCGGACATGCTTTCATTGATTAGGGAATCGATATAGAAAAAGGTCATCTGTCATATACGTTCTGGAAAAGTAGCATAACTAACCATGCTGTACCACACACGATAACATTTGTTTAAAGAAATTAAAGGACGTTACTAAGAAAACGTAAAACTATTTTCATATTTAACTGGCTGAAGTTTTTTACTTTTATTTTTCACGACGCTCTTCCGAAAATTTTGATTGTTTTGTGTAATACTGATTTGGTAAGGCACTTTATAGACAACCTAATTAATGTTGGCTGTCCATGAATTATAGGTGCAAGTTCATGTAAAAATCAGACGTTATATAGTTGATATATCTTATATTTTGTTTTGAAGAAAACAAATACGGCTCAGAATGTGTTCTTACTGCTTTGCAGTGTTTAGTTAACAAAACTAGTATCATCTACCTTGTATAGATAGAAGATAGGTGGGGTAGATGTAAATGAGACAACGCCCAAACAAAACTAAATATTGCTTAATTTGATTTATTGAATAAATTTTGACAAAAATTAATTAAAAGAAATTTGTCAGAAATCAATTGAAGGTCTTTCAACATCACATGCTTATAATTAAGGTTTAAATGAATTGTTATAATAACAGATATGCAAAAAACGTATTTACTTAATTAAAACAACCCTTCGTGAACTAAAAAGTGTTCAAAGATAACTTTCCTTGCAAAGATTACAAAAATATGTAGTTTATAATAGTTCTTTTCTTTGAAATAAGATTGATTATCAGCTATTTCCGATTTAAAATAGTCACTTCCGGTGACAACATATAGGTAACTTCTAATCATCCTTATTCTAAAAATATTTGGTTTCTGTATATTTTTACTTCCATTTTACACAAGGTCATTTCCGGTTGAATTTTTTCAAGGTCATATGTCGTCCACCCAAATGAAGCAGACCTTATGACTTTATCGTGTTCCAGTATTAGGTCAAAATCTAAAACGTCAAATTGACCTTTGACCTCAATTTCAAGATTAAAGGTCATGAATCTCAAATCAAAGACCCCAGGTCTTTAACATGTATAGTTAAGAAATTAGCCTACCAAGCATCTTATTTAAAATATTTAAGGGGAGAAAACACCTATAACAAGTCAGCAGAGCTGTAGGTCTCCATGAGTTACACCAACATACCATTAATGCCAAACACAAAAAAGGAAATAATTCTTTTTACATGTAACCGGACCGCTTCGGAACAAATTTAACAGATCATCATGAGGAAGAAACAAACATTTTGGAGAAAAGATTTAAACTATAACTTTTACGATTTCTAAGGGGAAGCGATAACAGGCAAACAGTATACGGAGTGATAACTCCCATATGCAAAGTGTTCGGACAAAAAGTGTGAGTTTCAAAAGCACAATAACTGTTCGATATCATGAATTATACCAAATATCTCATCGACATGTTGCGAAACAAAAGTGGATGAAGAAAAAAAAATAATCAGAACAAAATCAAAAGGTCTTTCCACGACAAATACTCGGTTGGGAAAAAATAGTGTAACATACTTTTATTTAAGAGTCAAACTTATCTCCATGATTTTTTATGAGGAGAAAAAGGACACATATTTCATATCAAGGTAAAATATCAGGATTACTGTATAATGGTATCGGGGGAGGGGTGGCAATCTATACGACTACAAATTGTGAGTGAGTTGATTTTCCGCTTGTTTACATGTCACGTTACTGTCCTATAATAAAATTGACACACATGGACGAATGCAATCTAGGATCTATGACAAACAATACGATTTCAATTTACCCTTTGTCATTTCTTGTTTAGGTTTTTTCTTTTTTTTTTTAGTTAATTGTAAATATTTTTATCTATTATAATAGAATAGAGAATGAAAATTGGGAATGTGTCAAAGAGACAACAACCTGACCAAAGAGCAGAAAACAGCCCAAGGCCACCAATGGGTATTCAACGCAGCGAGAAAATCCCGCACCCGGAGGCGGGTTTCAGCTGGCCTCAAAATAATGTATGCTAGTTCAGCGAAACATAAAAATGAACCAAAATTTAAAAAAAAAAACACACAAGACAAACAAAGGCTAGAGGTTCCTGACTTGGGTCAGGCGCAAACATGCGGCGAGGTTAAACATGTTTTTTGAGATCTCGACCCTCCCTATACATCTTTCCAATAAACAAACACACAGTAAAACACGAAGTCCGATGTTAGAATAGGCAACAGAAGACTAAGCAAAATAACAAAGATAAACATGAATTAACATAGGACTATTAGCAGAAACTGACATGTCAGCTCCAGATTCCAATTAAACTGATTGAAAGATGATGTCTTCATCATATGAATATCAACCACAATGCCTCCCTTTAGGGGTTTAGTATCATACCATCATGAATTATACGAGAAGAACATAACCCGTATCATGCCAACAGCTGGTTTTAGAATAAATGTGTTTATTTCCGATGCAAATAACATATGAGTGAATCAATATTAATTCCAAAAAATGAAATATTTAATGAATTGATTACAGTATCGTAACTATATCCCTTGTGAATCAGTCTGTTTAAAGGTTTGGTTCGAGGAGAATGACGACATTTTTGTGCTTTGTATAGAGTACTATCATCAAAGATGGCATGTGAAATACCTGAACGTATAAGAAGTCTGCACGTTGATTTATATTTGCGAATGATGTCCTTGTAAGGATGATAAGATTAACTAGATATCATTGAGATGGGAGCCATCTCTGTGGGCCCCGCTGTGAATAATGTGTGGTAAAAAATTTGTATCTTTATCATTGGACATGGGGTTGTCAACTTAAACCAAAGTTTTTGACCTTGACCTTTGACCTAGGAAGTTGTACATAAATTATGACACACCCTCTGGTGTTGGTATATATACATGTCAAGTATAAACTTTGAAATCATAACGGTTCTCAAGATATAGAGCGGACACGATCTTTACCATAAGACATGGGGTTGTCAACTAAAACCAAAGTTTTTGACCTTGACCTTTGACCTAGGAAGTTGTACATAAATTATGACACACCCTCTGGTGTTGGTATATATACATGTCAAGTATAAACTTTGAAATCATAACGGTTCTCAAGATATAGAGCGGACACGATCTTTACCATAGGACATGGGGTTGTCAACTAAAAACAAAGTTTTTGACCTTGACCTTTGACCTAGGAAGTTGTACATAATTTATGACACACTCTCTGGTATTGGTTTATATACATGTCAAGTATAAACTTTGAAATGATAACTGTTCTCAAGATATAGAGCGGACACGATATTTACCATATGACATGGGGTTGTCATCTAAAAACAAAGTTTTTGACCTTGACCTTTGACCTAGGAAGTTGTACGTACATTATGACACACCCTCTGGTGTTGGTTAATATACATGTGAAGTATAAACTTTGAAATCATAACGGTTCTCTAGATATAGAGCGGACACAATTTGTTACGGACGGACGGACGGACGGACCTACGGACGAACAGACGGACGGACGGACAGACGAACAGACGGACGGACGCACAGACTGATCACTATAGGGCGTCCGCCATTCGGCGGGGCCCCAATTAATGTTTTGACAAGTTTGCGATATCGAAAACCTTGGTGTAATGTTTTTTCAGTAATGCAGAGATTTCTTTCGTTAAAATCAAATACGTTGTAACATACACGAACGCATCAAACAAGTTGAGATATATAAACACCATACGCTGGTGCCAAGGGAACTTCACCATATAAAAACGAATAATTAACAATAAGAAATGAAAAATCATCTCTTTTATCGTAAATTTTAGTATTAAGCTTCCCGTTAGAGATTAAGATATCAAGAGCCAGGAAAGGGCAGTGTTCAGTGGCTTTGTTTAAAGTAAGTTCAACTGGATAAATCTCTTTATTGTACATACTGAAGTCGTCATTATTGAGAGCCAAAATATCATCCAAATATCTAAAAGTGTTATTAAATTTTTATCAGATGTTGTTTCGATCAATCTGCTGATTTTAGACATAAATTGTGATTCGTAAAAAATACAAACATGTCCGCTATAAGTGGTGCACAGTTAGTCCCCATTGGAATTCAGATAACTTGGCGATATTCAGAATCTCCATAACGAACAAAAATGTTATATAGTAAAAATTCAAATGCAGTTATCATATCAAAGCAGGTCGAACTGACATAATAATTCTTTTGTTTGTTACTAAAAAATGACTTTAAAGAATTTGTATATAGATATTCACATTCTGATTTTTAAAATGCCCATTTTATTAGGTATGTGATTTTGTTCTTTATGAGATTAAGAGGCAAAGTGGTAAATAGGGTAGAAAAATCAAAACTTTGAACAGATTTGATAGCACCGATATGAGCATGCAATTTATCAAGTACTTCCAACAAATTTTTGACACTCCAGCAATAATTAATTTCAGTATTTTTGTAGACCTT